TTTTTATAATACGAGGACAAACGATTTCTGCACAAACCCATTCTAAAAGTCGCGCATGGAATTGTGTCGATCGTTGCATTGCGGATCTCAGCTGATGGCAACACTGCGCGTGTCGAACATAATATATGTATGTAACATCTCTCCCTCTCTCATTCTCTCTTTCTTCCCTTCACTCTCTCCCGTTCGATCGTTCTTTCTCTCTCATTCTCTCGATATAGCATTTTAAACATTATGAGTTATTTATTAACCTATGCGGCCCTACGATATACGGATGAATGTTCCTTTGGCAGTTTTTATTTACATGCGAGTTGAGCCACGGCGCCGAAAATATCATACGGCAACGAATTTCGATGTCAAGCAACCTGTGAAGTACGGAACATTTTGAAAAGTTGTAACACGAAAGTTGAAATCAATAGACTTCCTCTCGTGTTGCGTAGCAGCACTTTTGAAAATGTCCCGTCTTTCATGGAGAGCGTCGTTGCGGATATTAGCAAGTTGATCCTTCAAATTTTTTGTTTATAAATCCGTTCAGGAGAATGTTTACAAATAGTACACGAGTATAAAAGGGTTTGAAATGTTACAATCTAACGATTCCGACAATTTCTATTTATTCAATTTGAAGATGTTAGTAACCTTGATCGAAGTATATTGAATTGTTTCAAGTATTTTATATTTATTTCTCATGCTTCGTAATCAAATGAAATTAATTATAGAATATCATAATGAAAGTAAGAAATAATTTTAATAGAGTGGTAATGTTAATTACTTTCCTTTATTAGAAAATTCTATCGTCAAAGGAACGTAGCAGTCTGCTATTGCGTTTTACAAAATTTTTTAAAGGATATTTATTGGAACGCTTGTACCATATAATATTTTCGTATTAATATAATGTTAGGGTTTATAATGAAGCATATTTGGATTTATGTTATATTATTTTAAATTCAATGTAGTGAAATACTATTAAAAAGTGGTTTCTGTTTACGTAATAAGAAATGTTATAATAGTATACTATTGATACTATTAGCACAAATAGTATGATATTATAACAGTATTATAATAGTGCAGTATAAATGTATATGTATATATTGCTATCATGAAATTATTTAAAACTTTAAAACTTATATAAAGTACTATACTTTTTTAGAGTATAAAGTACCTTTATATTATTATTTCTCAACTTCTAATTTCAACGAAACAATACTCTCCATTTACCAACATAATCCATAGCTCAACTGCAGCTACCATAACCATGTTATTTACAGAAACAATACGATCATATAATTGAGATATCTTGCGCTGTTAGTTCCATTTAATTTTGTACCCCCGTTTTCCTCGTCATTTTCACTGGCAGTGTCTCCCTTTGCCTCAACAATAGTATCTAGACGTTCCATTGTACTCCTTTGATGGTGATGACTACTTGATAAGTCACTGTCAGGTGTCTCATCCGAGTCTACATCAATCATATGGTCATTAACTTGAATTTTTACTACAGCATCTACTGGGTATTTCCCTTCGTCACCGGATGATGTTGTTCCCCTTTGTGATCCTACTCTACTGGATAATATTCTCTCATCTTTTTCACAACGAGGACAATTCTGACCATTGGATGAACCTTCGTCACTCTGGCATCTGAAGCATATTAAATCACCTTCGCTAGAGAAATCACAATGTTCACATTGAACGATTTGACCATTTCCGTGACAGATTTCACAGACAGGACTGTCATCGTCCTGCTTTAAGTCTCTATCTTCATAGTCTCTTCCGTCGTGTTCCTGTTCATATTTTTTGGACCAACTTCTTTGATAGTCTTGATCACGATAGAACGACCTAGGTGAAGAAGATTGACCACTATATTCTTGATCATGATATAGCGACCGAGGGGAGGATATATGAACTGGACTTTTATATGTGCGAGATGTTCCTGGTTCCTGAAGTCGATCATCAAAACGTTCCTCAACATATCTACTAGAATAGGAGCCAGGGGTTTGTGGTCTGTACGTGCAAGTACGAGTTTTCTGATCACACTCACTGCATAACAATAGATTTGACTTGCTGCCAGGCTGGGAAGCATAACCATTACAAGTGCCGTAATATCTCTCATCCTCGTCACTTTCAAAGAAATGTTGACTGAGGCTACCAATTGATTTTGTGTCGCTGGATCTACCAGAGATTCTAGCTCCTTCAGGTTCTTCTTTGTCATCTGCTGCATATCTGTAATAAAATGATAGATGTGTGACATACTACATTTTATACAAAATTCACACGAAGTAAAAACTGAACAGTGACTGTGTACAGACTAGATAATAAGATATACCTGTCGTCTGTAGCGTCAGCCAAATAGTGTCGTATTCGCGCTATCTTTGTTTTGCCGCGCTCTCGCGGCCTTGTTTCTTGTTAAATGATACTTTCTCGATTTCTTTCATTGTTATCTTCCAAGCTGGATGACGAGCTAGCACCGCAAATCTGCATCTCAATTTCAGCCAATCGATTCTCCACTTCCCACTGTTTTTGATTTAGTTTCGCGCTCATTGCCGCGTTTTCAGACTCCAAACAAATTAAACGTTCGCGAAGACGTTTAATTTCGGCCAGTAAGGCTTCATTAGTGCCTAAAAGTGGCGTGGCACCTTCGACTAATTGAGTCATGCTGCTGGTCATGCCTAGAAAGAATAATACACGGTTTGTTATTAATGAACCAATAAACAATATCAACGTAATAATTTTTTTATCCATATAACGTTAAATAATAATAATTATAGTTTATTAATTTGTTGTTAATAAAAGTGTAACAGAAATGTATGAATTATTAATATATGTTATTTTAAATAAACTTTATACTTTTCTCAATTAAGTCATTCTTGTTCTGCACGAATGACTTTGTTTTTTTATTAAATTCATTTAGACAACATCTCCTTATTGAACTGTTTGTAATGATCGATTTACAACGAATGGAATACTAACGTCACGTATGAATTTATACCTTTGTAGTATAGTAATTACAATATTTTGTGACATTGTGATCATAAATGACGTATGATTTGATACTTTGAGAAACAAATATATATCACGAATTATCTTTCGACTAATAAAATATTATTCTATTGTAATATTTGCAATATTCGTAATACTTCTTGTTATAATTTTCAATTATTTAATTTACGTTATGTTCAATATATGCAAATCTTATTATATAATATATAATTTACATGCATGTATCTACGTAATTAATGAAAAGCAGAGTTATTGAAATGTAAATGTTTAAATGTACGAGCCAATAACTCTTTCATGATTAATACCATTTTATGACAGACACTCGATATCGGTGTTACGTTATTCAAATTATTAATTACTTTCTTGCATTTTCAATTTTATCTTCTTAGTTCGTTATGCAAGCAAGTTCATCAATTACGCAAAATACAATCACAAAGTATATCAAGTATTAGATATTGATGTGAATTTTTATTAACAAATATGCTTGTATTTCTTATTCATGATTACTTATGAACATATGTTTAAGTTAAAGAAATTCAACGATAAAAAAAAAAGTACATATGTCAAATATGGAAGAAATAAGATAAAAAAATTAGTTACATCATATTTTCTTACCTTTCGGTAAAAGATTTATAATTTATTACTATGAAGAAATAAAGTTCAAAATATAATATAATGCAATATCGTCAAAGAAAACTTTCTTTCTATAGCTTTGGATTTGTTTCTTGCGAATAAAGTTAAACGTGTAAAATAAAATTGTTCTACTTCTAGAATTTCTAAAAGACAAATTTTCAAAATCAATAAAGTATAATACGAAGAAAGAGAACACTTTAGATTAATAATAAATCGAAATAATAATTAAAGAAATAATATTTATTGTGCAGTCTTGTTTTCCATTGTAAGAAAATAGATTTCGATGGTTTGTTAAGTTAACTTGGTTTATTATCTGTTCAGTATTTATTATTTCGATTTAAAGTTACTAAAATAAGTAATAATAATTTCATTTGATGTACAATATTCTATTTTGATAAAAGTTTAATTAATTTTGGTATATGTATACAAGAGATTTATGTTTAAATAAAATCTCAAACATACATAAGTTAAATTTTAATTGAATAATTATATTTAGATAAGGACTACTATAATTTAAAAGTTGACAGGTTGTTGCCGGATTTTTTAAGATCTAAAAAATAATTTTGTATCATTTGTGTCTTTCTTTAATTGTAATTTGAAGGAGCGCTTTTTAGATAAATTGGGGCTAATATTACAGCGTAAATAAACTTTAAAGTATTAGTTGCTAAGGATCATCGATGTTTTTTAAATCGGTTTTTGTTATGATTAATAAATTTTTTTTTTCTTAACTAAAACAGAGTATAATTTTTTTAAAATTAGAAGATTTTCATTGTTTATTGTGTCTTTATTATGAGAGGATGGACTGAATTAAGAAATAAATTTTGAAACTGTTTTGAAGCTGGTAAAGATGTTGTTATGTTGGCTTTTTTCTTTTAATATTATGATAATGTTAAATTTAAGTTTGAATTTTTCATTAAAATTTCAAAATATCATACGCGTAGTATAATATAAATAATTATTAATTTCTGCCAGAAGCAATAATATACTAATAGAAAAATTTATATCATAACTTTTTGGTAATAGTTTTGTATTAACAGTTTGAATGGTTTCTGATTGGTTCTGTACCTTCCTTCCCAATTAATAACTGATGGATAAATATATATAATAATTAAATTCATTTTACTAATATATTAGTAATAATCATATTACCAATATATCATGATCTCGTAATAATATTATTAACTTATCACAGTCTCGTTCAACTGAAAGTTCCATTCGGCGAATTTCCTCGAGAACGGAACGTTTTTACAAGAAGCTACCCCCGAAAATTCCGAATTTATTCATGTACGGAAGATTCGGTTTCTCTTCTAAGTACTCTGGCGACGAGACGGTGGCCATTTACAACCAATAAATCAGCGAATACCGCGCATCAAGCATGGAAAGCTTCAATTCCAACGGAAGAGGAGGATTCCTTGGTGATTTAACGTCCATTAAATCACGAAGGAAAAATGCGTTCAATCTGACGGTCCGAAATAGAGAGAGAGAGAGAGAGAGAGAGTTAAGAAAGAGAATCGGGGTCGAAGGATTCAGAAGGAGGACGTATATTTCCAGCCGGTGGCGTTTCAAGATGAAATACTTGCCAGAGTGGGTGGATTGTCTGCCGGCGGAGGGCTGTGCGGCCGCGGATTGTGGTGCCCTGGCGGTTTGATCCTCGCTGCTGTGGCCGCTGCTGGTGGCACTCATCGGACTATCCATGCTCCTCGCAACGTTGTTCGCGTTGACATTGTTCCCGGTGCTAGGCAAACCGCGCGACGTCACGGGACTCGGGCTGGGGGAGAACAACGAGTGGCCAGCCGAGTACGCGTGAGTGGACTTTGTGTCCACCGGTGAAACCCACATCTCCTCCAATGGTATACGACCTCGTGACTCCACGAGTCCTGGCGTGCTTTGACATCGTCCCATTGCAGCTGAAAGTTCGTATCGTGGGCGTAAAATGTCACATGCCAGAGGTATGAAGTTTCAGTCTCGGAGGAACAGTGTTGTTTTTAGTTCTGGTAAGACTTGTAGTTCATTTGGTTATGTGTTCCCCATGTTATTCAGGAGTTATGCAGACTGATTGCCTTACAAGATGTATGCATTCAATCAAATAAACGAACAATTCTGTTTAGAGAGAAGATGTGTGCGTTCATTGTATCTTAAAATAGATTATCTTTAGCCAGAGTTATGTAGAGATGATATTGTAAAAATTTATATTTTCAGTTTGAAGTTATTGGAGTTAGATTATTATAAGTAAATTTGCATAGGGCTTTATTAAATTGTGTGTCCATCAGATGTACATATATTGTTATCTTGAGATTTTCTATGTATTGTTCATGTTTTGATGTATGTACTATAATATGTATTTTTATCCTTTATATATATTATGCTTCATGATAAAATATTATGTGCTTACACTTATAAATATTATATATTTATAAAGTTTTTTCATGCTTTAATATATTTGTATATTTATGTTAATTAATGAGTGTATGAAATTTGATATTTATAAGTTTATGTAGCATCAATAATTTTCTAATAATTATCATCCTCATGCCAATTTTATCATGTTAATGAAGATTTTTTTTTTTTCTTTAGTTATTACTATTAATTTTTTTTATATTCTTTAATTAATGTTTTCTAAAAACACGTTTTTATTTAATATCTTTTAATAGCAACATTATATTTATTAACAAACAGAAGAAGAAATAAGAAAAATGTTTTTAAAAATTCTTTGCATTATACTATACATGTACTAAAAAATTCACTACTATAATTACTAATAATTGACATTAAATGGTAAATATTATTTTAAATATTTAATAATATTTCTTAGAATTTTAGTTTTTCCAGTTCTTGGAATATGAAGTGTATATGTTGTTTCATTTATAATTTCAATTATTTTCGTACATTATGTCAGTTATAATAGTTTTTTTATTATTTACAATTTACACAACGTGTATTCGGCGCGGATGATCTCTTAGATAAAGATTACAGCGCCAGTGAAACGGTAAAATATGTAACTACTTATATATTGCGATATTCGATTATAATCGATATAAGTTTTCATTATCGATTCATATTGGTTAGAAACGTCAGTTTCACTGCGGAAACCATTGGAAGAAGAAGCGCCAGGTAAAGTTCAGAATCAAAGATTTTATATTTATTTTCGTATTGTCGAATACATTTGCGATTTAGGATTAGCGAGTATTATTAAAAGATTTACATACATATGTACATTCAATTCAATCATTGATCAGAAATCAATCTATATGTATACAATGTTTCAAGTTTCAACACTAAACTCCTACCGTAGGAAAAATTTCATGTGTATATTATTTTGAATTAATTTATTATTTTGAATTAACATTGTAACGAGATATGATTATATTCGTCAATGAAACCTGAATTTGAAAATTTATGTTACAGATTACAAGATGTTTATTGCAAACATGTATTCAGTAAAAGATTAGCGTAAGTGTTAAAGATGGCACCACTGAATATTGAAGCTTATTAATACAATGGGTAATATATACAAATCATCAATAACGAAATATATTACTTACGTTAAAATATTTTGTAAATTTCATGTAAATTTAGATTAGTCTATGAATCTTATATACATTGTTAGTGAAATTTTAAAATGTTTCGTATATATATGCATAAATGTTTCTACAAATATAATTAAAATTTTCTATTGAATTCTGTATACGATAAAATAGCGTCGCCCTTAATTACGTATGTACCATATTTATCAATTTAATCAATTACATTTCATTCGTTCAAATTAAATTATTGATAAATGCACGATATTTATAATATGCTCGATGTTGAAAATTCCCCTACTCTACCTCACGCCCATCCTATCAAATTAGTTCACGAATGCGAATTCGTTCTGTTGAAAATTAACTGCATAATCCATTTCCCCCGGTTATCCTTTTATTTTTTACATTCACGCTACTTCGTTTAATTAAATGTACATTTTTATTCAATAATTTGTTGAATGTATATTTCGTTCGATTTGAAATAAGTAAATGGAATAACTTTTAGATTTTGTTAGATTCTCGCAAAATAATATCACAATATACTAGAATATAATAATAATAACAACAACAGATGATATTTCTTTTCTGTACAATAATATTGCATTTTTTTTCGAGAAGTGGCGCTATTACATGTTCTGTACATCGCATTCTTTGTACATTATTTTATTTTTCTATATTTTATTAATATGAGATAATATTTGAAATTTTAATGATAGATATTCAGAGTTGTAGTTTTTATAAATTGGGTTGTATTTGAATTATAAAATATTCACGGATACTTGATAACATTTGGGAATACTATACACAATGATATTTTGAAAATATTATATACTATAGATTTTTTAGTATGATATTTCTGTATTTGTTACAAAATAAATTAATAACGAGTAATTAGTATCTTGAAAAAGCAATATTTTTTTAAACAAAAACATTCCATAGCTATTCATTTTTATTCTTTCAAATTTTCTGATAAATCACAATTACGTTTTTCAATATAAGTTTGTCACAATTTATATTTTGTCATAGATTTATTCGTCATTCCTTCCTCTTCTCCTTGTTTTTCTAGAAAATTTACAATTGCTAGTGCAACTTTGTAATACCTTTGTATTTTACTTCAATCAATTCTGAAGTTTCAATTGAACATTATCATTGAAATATTTTTATCTAATTTAGTATTTTAGTATTTTACATTTATTTAGTTTCTATCTAATTTAATTTAATTTCAAACATTATCTTCTCACGTAATTAACAGCGCCTTTAAGAACAAATTATAATATTCTATTCTTCATTACAGATTTCTCTCACAATCACAGTGTTCGTTCCTTCTGTGGAATTCAGATGACACCGTTCTTCGCATCTAATCACATAGTATGAATTCGACAAGGGTAAGTGGTTGTAGTATCACGTAGACTTTCTGAATGTTTATTACACTTGTGAGTGGTAATATTTTTTGTTTGTATTTTATTATTATTTTAGGATTTGTAATTATTATTTTAGATTTTTATTATTTTAGATTTTCGTCGATAGTGTTAGTTTTGATCGCTATTCAAAAATCGCGTTTTTGAATATTAATAACAATATTAATATAAATACCTATTTCTGATTTATTACAATTGTTTGTAAAATCAAAATACATTCAGTATAATTATTTGTATGAATAAAATATTTATACAAACATATCTATATTATTTATACGAATAAACAGAATATAAATATTCAAACGAATGATGGATAATTAACGATGATTTTAATGGAATGTTTTGTAATAGAGAAATTGAATATCTTTCGATTTCGTTGTTACGAATACTGAAACTTTTGCTGGATTATTGGCGAATAATATTGCATATTATAATTATCACAATTATTAAATAATATTTGATTTTATCTCGTAATTATAATTGTTTCACCGTGTTCTAATTTTCCCCGTGGAAGACAGTAATTGCGTACATAATCCGTCAGCAACTACGAAGGATAAGCTTCAACGATTAGGGTTCAAATAAAACGCGGCTGATGTATTGATGAAGATGAATGGCTTCCGGAGCTTCTCGATCCTTTGCTTTAATAGTGTATTTCGTTGATCCAGATGATTCATTGGTGGAAAATTGGGTAAACGTTTGTATTAGTTCAGTTTATCAGATAATTTATCTCCGATGAGATATTCGTTCTAAGAAACGAGGTCAAACCGGATGTGGATTTTTGAGAATTGTTATCTCATTTTCAATAGAGATAGTCAGTTCATTCGTGAATTATGTTATATTTTATACGTGATAGTCTAAAAAGATATTAAACATTTCATTAACATTTGTCACACATTTTGATTATTTAAAAATATGTTGCAAGAAAATGTTATTTCTTGTTTATCTATATAAAAATTGGAAAATTTTTAGAGTAATTTTACAGTCACGAGATATATATTTAGTACATTTACTTAAAGTAAATTGAAAATTAAAATATTTCAGTCACATATACATTCCCAGTCCTTTGATCGTTTCTGCAACACTATAAAGGAGAGATGTATTTTTCGATATCGTGCAAATCATTTTGTTATTGTACAAAGCATAGAATTTCCTTGGATAATATAGAAAAGAATTTCAGGAATTAAAGATATCAAGGACAAAAGGAAGAAAATTTAAATTTCTATTTGAAAGTAGATATTCATTGATATGGTATATTAATGAGATCTTTTTTTCTATATTTTAATTTTAGATTCTATGCATAAGAAAAAAAAAATATCTGTCAAGGATAGGAAACATTTTATGATGTAATAATATAATAATATTAATTCGTGATAATATAATAATATTATATAATAATAAATGCGATATATAATTTCTCGTTTAAATTAATTGTTACGTTTGCAAGGATTATATGTTGACAATATTAATACACAAGTATTAAAAAAATATAATAAAAATTTATTCAAAAACACAAAATACAAAATTAAATAAAGAGCTATTTCGTTCGACAGCCAAATAATGAGATAATCTAACAAGAAAATCATTTGCACGTTCCATTTGAAATAACATCAATTCTCAATTCATCATTTTTGAAATACGTTACTTGAATAACATCCAAGCCATCTTTTATATATTCTACACATTGCAAACAAAAAAAAAAAAAAAAAAAAAGAAGAAAGAAAGAAGGATATCTAAAGAGATATACGACGTTAACGAAGGAGCAAGGAGAATTAACAAAGTTCCCTCACGAGATGCGGTCTGTTACAAGATTGATATCTTCTTGCACAATAAAAGGATCCTGTAACACTGGATCCTATATTGCAATGGTGCAAAGCGAATACGCGAACAGTTTCCTCGTTACTCTGTGTCGACTCGGTCGAGGAGAGCGCGATTCTCTTTCTTTCCTATCTTCTTTTTTTTTTTT